CGACGAAAACCCAACCCCGATGGCAAACACCGGGAGGGGCGGCTTGTTTTACAACGTCGTTGCCAAGCGACGAAAACCCAACCCCGATGGTAAACACCGGGGGGGGCGGCTTGTTTTACAACGTCGTTGCCAAGCGACGAAAACTCAACCCCGATGGCAAACACCGGGGGCGGAACAGTGGCCGGGTGGGGGACATTATTGAAAGTGTTGCATATGAAGTGACTGCAGAGGCCCGGAGAAGAGGGGAGTGCAGCAGAACGCGACCAAGAGTCAGTGCTTGCGCGTAATAAACTTTTGGCGCTCATAGCCTAACTCGTTTTCCACAGCGCGAGACAGTCCTAGCACCAACACCAACAACAAAACCAACATCAACAACAGGAGCAAGAGCAGGAACAACACGAACAACAACACGAACAACGGCAAACCGGGGCAACAAGGGAGAGACGCGGTGGACCAATGTCCACCTGTAAGGCAATGTTTGATCCCGTGGCCGAAACACGAACACTCGCAGAAGGCATGCACGAGTTCCACGCGTACCGGATTTCAGGTTCGAACGGCAAGCGAAAGGCGCGGGTTGCCGAGATGCGTGTCGGTAACGCTCACGAGAGCCAGACGGCGGGGGGTGGGGCAGCATGAGCAAGCGTTGGGTGTAGCGAAGCGATGCGAAAACCACACGAGAGGTGACCTGCGTTACTCCCTTTCAGGACCCACCATCACAAAGGAGTCGTGACCAGCCACACAGCCGCGGAATGAACACGCACCATGTCCAAAGAGCTCCAAGTTTCAAGCAACAAGACGCGGCTACTACATAACTGGAGTATGTCGTGCTCTTCGAGCACCTACACCTGCGTGTTGTACGTCAGAAACCTCAAGAATTTTCAGCATGAAGAAATAAGCTGCACCTTGAAGGAATCAATCTCCCGCCGGAGGACCTGCTGCTTCCGTGAGCTCGTGGCGGCTTCTTGCTTCAGGGCCTGGGACTCGGCCTCCACAGCGTGAAGGCGAGCTTGGAGCTCCGCCGCTCGGGCAGCGAGGCCTCTGAAGGCTTCAAGCTCTTCGGGGGAAGGGATCTCGGCGCAACCCATGCCGTTGCGGCCGACGAGAGTGTTCATCACAGCTCTTTTTCCGCCCACAGAGACGGGGTGAGACGACCAGCGAGCGAGCGGTGTTTGTACTATGGCGCACGTGGGGTTGATGCGATTGAAGCTGACGGGAAAAATGAACGAGTGGTGGGTGCTTGGGTAGAAAGATCCAAGGCAGGATGACTCCGTGAGGGCGACGACAACGGTGGGTTTCCTCTCACAAGTCACGGTGCACCCGGCGTCACCCAGTCTTTTCTCATATCCAACCGACAGGTGTTACGTGCAAGTGGTCGAAGCACCGTCGGCACAAATCGATGCATTTGGCGTTCAGAACAGCCAAAATCTTGCACGCGTCTAGTAACATAATGCGCGTGTTGGTGTGGTGCAGATTCGTTCATGGTATCATTTTTCCAAACACAGATTGAAAACATTTTCCATTAATCAAAGCCAACAAGAGAGCAATTTTCTCTTGTGGCGATATGATGGGAGACAGGCCCTTTCGCGATTGGAGAATACACCGAAGAAGCGCATGAACGTCCTCGTGGGAGTAGCCGGAACCACAGTCGCCAAAATATTGAGTATCTGGAAAGGAATGCAACACGACACGGACCCTTTTCGACATATTGGAGTTTTGGCGGAGAAAAAGTCTACATATCTACCGACAGACCACTGAGTGACGACGAGATGCAAGCGTATCGAGTCTGCTATTCGAACAGTGGGTCCTGCCGGAAGCTGGGCTGCACAAAGTCTTCACAAGGAAACACGAACATTCGTCCCCGCTGAAACATTCATCCGTTATCCCCTGTAAAACGTTTGTTATGCACTGCTCACCATGACACTTGCTCTAGCCACCGCCCTAACAACCTTGCCTGCATCATGCGAATTAATTCTTCGATACTCTTCGGCGTGAACCCGCCGGACGGTTTGTAACAAGCTCTCCCTCTCTCACCGGTGGCGGGAGTAGGAGGCGTTGCTTTTCTCCAGGCTTTCGACGAAACCACGTTGCGCCTTCTTCAGGTCTCGCTCGTTCTCTTTCAGCTTGGCCTCGTTGTTGAACATCGACCGCTGAAAGTCGGACGATTGTTCGCTCAGCTTGGCTGGGGAAACAAGGCAGAGGCGGGAGGGGGGGTGGGGACCGAGCTCGATTTCCTTCTTGCACTTTGACCATGTCGACCAGGGAAAACCACGCATCCTCCCTAGACCTGGCGAAGATCCCACAATTTACAACTCGGGCGCTCTGTGCGTGCCTTTCCATCCATGGCACCAGGGGGTAAGGAGGGTGACCGTGCCAATCTTCCCTTGCCAAGGCGCGTTCGTTTCCCCGTCGGGCGGCTGTCTGGTCCGCACGCTGAACAGAATGTGCCAACAGAGCTTGAGCTTCCTACATTGATTTATGAACTAACACCAGCTGTGAGAAAACAACTTCTGCTGGTGAAGACTGGTTGTCGCGAGGACAACAGGCGCTGATCGATACATGACGCCGGCTCAGACGTTGCTTGCTTCTCTACTTCAATATCTGCCGGGCCCGTTCCTTCATTCTTTACGTCCCCCACGGTTTCCCGTTCACTTTGAACAGAGAAGCCCTCCCGACTAGACGAGAGCCATTCTCAAAATATTGCCTGAGACTATATGCAGATTAACGAAAGACTGAGTGAGAAAAATCACGACGCTGGCTGCCGAAAAACGCTAATGCTCCTGTCGTAACACACGAATCTCTAACACACGAAAGTCGTAACACACGAAAGTCAAGACTGGAATGTACGTATCCCTGTCCCTGCGGGTCTCCCACACTTTCTACAGTTTCCCAAACGACCAATGGGTTACCCATGGGTGACCCATGGGTGACCCATAAGTAACCCGTATGGCCTGCCCATGAGCGTGCCTACGGGTAGCCCATGGGCAACCATGGGCGGCCCATGAACAACCCATGGGAAGCCAAGGGCGGCCAATGAGAGCCCTTCAACCGAACCAGTGTACTCCTAAACATTAGATTATCTGCTTTGGAACGGACACTATATCGGCTAACAACCCTAACGCAAACCGTAACCCTAGCCCCAAGCCCACACGACACGTGCTAGGTTGACGCAGGTGGCTAAGTTCTAGGTTGATGTGAAGGTGGTTAAGTTCTAGGTTGATAGCCGGTGGCGAAAATCTAGGTTGAAGTGCCCATTGGCGGCCCTTGGGTGACCCATGGGTGTCCCATGCCATGGGTGTCCCATGGGCGGTTTATCAAAACTGTCAGTAGTTATTGTTTTGTTTTTTGTTTGTTTTTTCTCCCATCATTGAACTCTGTCGTCTGCCCCTCTGGCCCCTATCCTCCACTTCTACCAGCTAGACGACCCAACCGGGGTCAGATAGGAGGGGGGGGGTTGGACCGCCTCCTGCGGTTCCTGCCTGAGATATTTTCATCGCGAGAAGGGTACAGCAATCCCTTCCCTCGCGACTTATGAAGTCGATCAAGTATACTAAGAAGTGTGAGAGATTGGTCCCTGCCGGCTGATGTCTGTGCCCACGTGCAGTAGAAGCGGGTGAGAAACACGGCAAGATTTGCCAGCGAGCTTTCAAAAGCCACGAAATAGCTAGGGCTCGAGCCACGGATGTTCCTCAAAACAAGAAAACGGCGGCCGGGATACGCTACCTTGTGGCGGATAGACACGTTCACGGGGTACCCAGGCAGCGTAAAACCGACAATTTGCAAATATGAAACTGTTGTTCACATACTCCGGTAGCCGCATCAACGAGCAATGCTGCCTGCACACGCTACCGTATCGAAGCCGAGACGTGAAAATTGACAAAGTGTTCCATGATAACCCGCAGCGACTGCATTCGCTCAGCTGTCCATGCTGATCCATCCCTCCACAAAGTTCTCGCTTGTTGTCGGCAGTCAGCCACCATGGCCAACAACAGACACAAGGACAAGATCAAACAGCAAACGTCTCGCGAGATGGAACGAACTCCTCCGAAAAGTCAACCATGCTTTGAAGAGAGTGATCGATCTCCGGCCATTGCCCCCGTCTCTCACCTTTTTCGGCAATCAGGTCCTCGTTTCTCCTAGAAAGCAGCCCGATCTCCTGCTGCAAGGACACTCGATCCGCCGAGGCCACCTCTAGCTCACCCTTGAGTTGTGAAGCCTTCGCCTCCTCGGCATCAGCCCTCATGCGTTGCTGGCGCAGCTGGGACTCAAGCTGTAACATCAGCGGCAATCAGGAGAGCATCAATTGGCTGAGTCAAAGTCATCCAAACACAGCAACGGGCGAGGATGGCCACAACGCCGAGGATAGAGAGGCTAGGCAGGCGTTCCGGAGCTGAGCACGCACGTCGATCGCAAAGTGCGACGGGACAACATCTATGACGTTGGAGAGCAGGCTTGAATAGAGAAGAAATCGCTTGAACGAATCGGGTGGTGGAGTAAACAAAAAATGTCACTGTTTGTAGTTCGTCGGATACGGCTATGTGCACCATCTTGAGGTCCCTGCAACCCCTGCTAGGATTATTGCTACACGCACTGCATCCTGTGGAATCAACGGCGGAGCCAGGTTTCATTTTCGCCCGCTCGCAGGCTGTCGTTGTCGCACCTGTAGCTCACCAACTGCCTAGGCCCGAGAGCGGGTACTTTCGCTGAAAGGCGGGAATCCTCACTCCGATCATGTGCGTGCAAATAGAGAGGGTCAGGTGGACCTTAAACATCACATCAGAGCGCTTCCGAAGCCTCGCAGCGGATCGGTGTTACAAGATTTCAACCTACAGGCAATCGAAGTGAAACCAGTGGAAGTGTACGTTCAAGCCAATGCTTGCTCGCACCGCCACCGGGGGTCACTCGAGGCAACGCGTTGCGAACGCAATCCAAATTATCTGCCTCGCTGTAGTGGTCTCTCTCCCATCTCATACATATCCGTGCCCACTTTTCCGTTGCTTCTCGACAACCAAAATATCAGCGAATTTCCGGATTGTTTTCTATGACTTCGATTCGTCATCTTCCTTACGAAGCACCAAACGGCCTACAACTACTTGAGATTTTGGGGTCTACGGTCAGCTCCCAGTTCTGTACAGAACCAGCTGCTCCCACTGACTCGTCACCTTCAGGCGTTCGCCATCTTTCTTGTTGATGTCGTCCACCAGGGAGCCCAGGTGCCCGAAGCCCGCCATTGGCTACAATAGCGTCAAGCGGCAGGCGGAATGGTGGTGTCGCAATGTTTTCGTCCACCTATACCAGGTGGATAAGGGTAAATCTTCAGAGTGAAAATGCGTGCGCCTTCGCTCGTCCGTGGCTGCAACTGATTGGCACAAGATGGTGTGTCTTATCCCGTGAAAGAACCGAGTACTTTAGGCGTCGAGACTGCAAGAAGCAGCAGGTCGCGAATTGGAACACGAATGGATCTCCCCTTGGCCACACCGGACACGATGGACACCGATGGCCCTTGCATCGATCTACGAACTTCGACCCACAGGAGGTGTTGAGTTTTTGGAGTCTTGAGCTTATGTGCCCAGCTGCTTCAGTAGGATGATATTCTTTGGCATCAGGGCACTTTTATCTGTGGGAGGTCGACGAAAGAACAGAGTACCGTGAGCGACCGAGCACCAGCTTAAACGTCGACGTTCCCGGCGGGGAGTTGAGCGTGCCTTGCAATCACGTGCTGCTGGGTTGGTGAGAATCTCCTGTTCCATTCATCAACCGTGCTATCTGGCCGGCAAGTGAAGAGCAGGTCGCCATGGTTGGTCTCAGCCATACACAACAGCAGCAGTACATGGGTCCCACGTGTGTCAGGAATTTTGACACGAGCACGAAGTTTTGACACGAGACCAGAATTTTGACACGAGACGTCAGAATTTCGACACGAGAGGTTACGCCGCACTTTTCATGTCAGAATCACAGGTCAGAATTTTTCGAAAACGTGGTCAAAATATTTTCACCTGAGGTATTTTGACACGAGAAAACGACAAATTGACACGAGCGCCATCGCACACGCACGAAGGCATCAACTCAGTCGGCAAGCTCGCACGCAGCTTCCCGCACACCCACACACGTGAACACAACGCTCCCGGGAGTACATCGCGTTAGGGGAACGTCAAGCCGCGGTTAGGATCGTGTGCGTTCATCGCGGGATCGAGAACAAAACACGCCGAGGTTGGTCTGTCTTGACTCTGGACTCGAAGCACACGGGAGACAACCACAACAGCAGCTACTCGGGTGCCTCGCTCGTGAAGGGAGAGGTTACAGCAGTTGTTGTTGGAAGAGACGGTAGCTCTGGGCGCACGTACTAGGGGCGCGAAGCCGCGGGCGGCGGTTGGGATTTGGGGAGTGTAGTTCGCGGAGTGTAGTTCTCGGGAGTCGAGAGGAAACATGTCTCCAGCTTTGCTACGCCAACCATGGCCATCACGAGGAACATGTCCTCTCCAGCTAGCGCGCACAACACAGCAAGCAGTAGAACCTGCATGCACTCATCATGCCACTCGTAGCGGATTCTACCTCGCGCAAGCGAGCCATCCCCTCGCTCCGTGTCGGGTGCGGTAATGAGGGAGCGCGACCGTTGGGTTTCCCGGCGGTGCAGCGGTGCAGCTGGGGTTGAATGTTTTTTAACTTGAGGCTGCGCCGCTGCTGGCCTTCGCCAGGCAACGTGTGGCGGAATATTTTTGCGTGTCAATTTACCAACCGTTACCTTTTTTCGTGTCAATTTGCCAACCGTCGCTTTTTTTGGTGTCAATCTATCTCAGTCCAAAATTTTCGTGTCAATTTAACATGAAAAAGTGCGGCGTAACCTCTCGTGTCAAAATTCTGACGTCTCGTGTCAAAATGCTGGTCTCGTGTCAAAATTTCGTGCTCGTGTCAAAATTCCTGACACACGTGGGACCCATGTAATTTAACGTGGGAACCCAGGACTACAAAATGATGAGCATCACAGGTTGCCCTCTGCGGGGTCCCCTGACAGGGGGGCCGCGGATCCGTGTTCTTGCGTCCTTAACATCATAGATTGTCCTTTGAAGTCGACGGCAAGCAGGCAGGCAACAGTCCAGAAGCGTTCTTCCACCATCCACCACGATGATCTGTTGAACAACGCAAAGCTAGCCTCATGGTGCCAAACAACGCCGAGGGTGCTTCCCACTCTGAGGGCTCCCCTGACGCGGCGGGTATGTCTGAAAGAGACGGAATCTTCACACGCTCGCGTGTGTGTATGGAAGAGACCGCTTCTCAACACCCGCGCGCCAGAGTTCAACGCTTAGACCTGCCCATACTTGTTCAGATATGCTGGTTGATAAGCTATGGGAATCAACTCGATAACAGTAACGACCTTGCTGGAGCACGGACATATCGAACCAGCCGGACCGGCAACTGCTTCATAGGTCCCTTGGTCTACTCGGCTCCAGGGCCTTGGCCTGTCCAGTGGTACAACATCACTGGTACTGCATTGGCAGCGCCTGTGGTCACTGGCAACATCGTTGTCCCCACTGTTAACAACATCATTGTACATTGTGGCGGCGCAAGCTGCTACAGCCGTAGCTGATGTGTTCAGGTGTGGTACTTCGATTGCTGTCTCATATTCCTGATATGTGCATGCAATACTGGGGATTCAGACCTGGTTCACTGTTTATCCTGGGACGGGACGATCTCCAGGCTTCTACGGGCTCGTCCTCATTCACAGCAGTGATGTGGGTGGTGAGGGCAGTCAAGCAACAGCAGTGCGGTGTGAGTGAAATTTTTCTGAAATTTTTGGCATTACCGTATTCCGCGGAACCCCCTGGAAGAGGGGGTCTGCAGGCTGCGGGGTTCTCGTCCGTGAAAAAAAACGGAACTCACCTCACTTTTCAATCCACAATTGCATTGTAATGTGTTCTCCGAGCTCTTCTCCTCTAGCTGCTGTTCAACCAGGCAAGAGGTACACGGGATACAACGGAGATCGAGCAAACAAAAACGACCCAAGAACTTCTTTGCGGCGCATGGCGCTGGCTCCATTGGCGCTCCCAAAATGCCGGGAATCCACCTGACCCACACTATTTTCTTTCACAGGTGGAGACTTGTTGCAGGTGTTGATAAGAGTGTAATGGGCCATATGAGCTTCGCTGTGAGGCGACAGCAAATGCTAGCCCACCGGAGACAGTCCCTGCGGCGTTGGCCCAAAGGGGTATCGTTTCCAGGGGGGAAGGTTTGTATATGTACTTGTAGCTCCGTGCCTCTCGCCGCCGAGGTCGCGACAGCTCTCCAAGCACCACGGCGGCCCCACGGAGGAACTGCCAGGTAGGGACTGCGGAGTACCCTCCCAATTTGGAGCCAGTCTACTCGTTGAAAGCAGACACGCACGTTGCGATAACTGTTGGAGCTGCAGATACCCTTTCACAGGGTAGCCGTAGCCTTTTTCGGCGAGGCTTGAAAGTTCTCAGTTTGGGCCCTCTGTGAAAGTAAGTGAGCAACCCCGAGTACAGTGGGCAGCTGTGAGAACTTCATCGCAGTGGGTAAGATTCTTCTTGTTGAGGTACACGACTTGCACGGACGTACCGCCAATATCATGGTTGTCAAAGAAGCTGACGTGAGTTTATTTCGTACAAACCAGCTTCAACTACGACTGACTGACTCAGAAGAATAGATGGGTCGAATTGATGTGAAACATTCTGCATGTGTGTGTTGTTGTTGTTGTTGTTGTTGTTGTCTTCACATTAATAACCATCCCGGTCTCTCTATCCAGTACCTCCTTCTGTCTCAATCTCTCCGTACTAATCCAGCACTTGACTCGGTCAATTTCCGTCTGTACAGTACGTAAATTGCGACATTAATAAGATCCTCGATTTTTTGTCGCTTGTTGTTCGATTGTTGTTTCCCATATGTTGTAAAGGTTGGCCTCCCCATATATTCGGCTCCACGGCAAGCCCTGGCAAAGCCCTGACCCCTAAGGTATCCCTTAGATGTACCAAAGTCCATCATTCGGGGGGCTGTCATGTTCAGTGTCCCTATTTCCTTTTTACGCTAGGGACGTGTCGAGTCCCTGCATGTATGCGAGGCAACCAAATGAACTCCGGGATGTGGAGACAACTGAGAGAGGAGTGGCGGCTGACCATCCCCATATTCCGTTCACGATATTTTGACCGTGAGGTCTAACGCACGTTCTACAGAAGACCGAATGGAGCGAGAGGGCCAGTCACTGACGCTCATAAAGCGAGGTTCTTGCCGTGTTCGTGTCTGAAAGGCCTCATTCTTCATGCCTGCCTGTCCCGCATGGCCGAGCCCGGAGATCAACCCAAGTGACGTTGCGTTGTCCCAAGGATCCGAACCAAACAAACACCTCGTGTGCTCTCGAAGGAAGAAAATCAACGGTATGATAGCTACATTTTCGATGGTGTGTGCATCACGGCCGAGGGCCGACGTCACAGAGGTGGTATGTCGTTCCTTCCAAGTAGCCCAGGCTTGAATGAACGTTGGAGTGAGTTGGAAAAAGGTACTTCGCCCGCGAGCATTGTCCAAAGGTGCTCGACTGTGGGTGGGATGGCCTCGGGAGGAGGTATATGGTGCGTTACGTGGACGAGCATATATCCTTCCTTGCCCCCGGACCTACACGTGAGAGCTGGCGTTTCCATTCATCCTGAAAGGTAAACTACGCGGGGTGCAGCAAGCCCGTCCTGGGCGTTACTTGGGGCACTGGGTAGTCGGCCGTGTTAGGCCGAGAGTGAGAGATTGAGAGAGAGGTGGAGAGAGAGTGGGAGAAGGGAACTTGGTTGGAGAGAGAAGGCGGTAGCGGTGGGAGGAGAGAAGGAAGAAAGAAGGTGCGCAACACGCACGCAAGCCTCATCGTTCCAACTGCGCCAAAAGGGTCCCCGTGACTGCACCTGTGGTACCCTGCAACACACGAAATTCCCAGCACGTATCCCCTTGGGATCCTCACGACCAGATACTGCTGCGAATATATCTGACATCCCCCCTGCTCTCAACAGCTTCTCACTGCAAACTTCGCTAACATCCGATATCTCAACCAAAAGACGTCCTTTCAAGAATATATGCCATCAAGACTATACCAAAATATAAGGAAGAAAAATAGTTCAAAGTAACATGAATGAATGCTGCATCGCGCGTAATGAATACTTGGCGAGGAAAATGAAAGCAAAACCAACACACAACCCATCAGAAGAACAATAGATGTNAAGAAAGTCTGCACGCTGGTACGGCGACGGCACGTGAATGACCGAAATTTCCTTCCTCTCTACCAGTTCCCTGAGAAAATGGTGCCTTACATCCATGTGCTTCGAGTTCGAGTTTGAGATGGGGTTCTGCGCTAGTTGAATCGCCCCCTGGTTGTCCTCGAAGACTTGGATGCACGGCATGCCGTCCTGCGGCAACATGAAATGCCAAATTTGCCTCAAAAACAAAATCTCTTTCACTACGTCACCAAACCCGACGTACTCTGCCTCTGTCGTCGAAAGCGTAACACACTTCTGCGTTCTGGAAAACCAAGACACGGCGCCTCCTCCACACGTGACGATCCCCCTGATACCGACCTACGGGCTGCTGCCTTGCTTGCAAAGTCCGCATCAGCGTACCCCTGCAAACTGAATCCCTCTTCTGTGCCTCTCTGAAACGAAATACCGAAGTGACTAGTCCTTCTCACAAACCATAAAATATCCATCGCTGCATTCCAGTGTACCAGCTTCGGAGATGCGCAATACCTAGCTACTGCGCTTACTCCATTCGCAATGTCTGGCCTAGTCTGATTCGCCAGCCACATCAAAGATCCGACTAGTTCGCTAAACAGAAAGTCTGTCGCCACCTCATCCGCATCAAAGTCAGAAAGTTTCACCCCCGAAGACATCGGAACGCTCTTACCTCCCACCACTCCATCAATACTCTGCTGCTAGCTCATCCGTGAACGTCTGCCGAGAAATCTTCAACTTACCGGTCTCCTTGTTCCTCTCGCAAAAGCACCCAGAATACCATCTCAACTCTCCAAGGTTCTTCACTGGCACGGACTTGTTAGGGTCGGCGCCAAACTTGTCACATCTCTCCCTCTCCCACAGCAAAAATGTCATCTACATGTACTACCAAAATCAAGACAACACATCCATCCTCAATCAAACGAAACACACAAGCATCGGCCATGCACTGCTCAAAACCTAACGCC